AATGAATTGCACTGAATGATGGATTTTCTCTAATCTGTGTTCACAGTAATGACAAAACCTGACAGCAGATTAGGAATAATCATAAAATATTTGTTTAGTTAAGGTAAAAAAATATATATATAAAATGTATAATATAAATGAACATAATAAAGACACTGATGAGGTGAAGTGTATTTCCGAGGTCATTCAACAACCAAGGAGCCCTGACAGCAAAAGCTCGGTCGCCTGCTGGTGGGAACAGTGTATCTGCCTGAGAATATGAAGCTATGTATTGGTTGGTAAGAGAACAGCAGTTTGAGGAGTTGTTTTCCATTTCCACCGACGTATTAATTCAGCTCCAGTGACACATCTCTACAAATATCAGGACAGATACACACAATTATTTGGCAAAAATGAGCCGAAAATGAAATTCAAACTATTTTTTTCTGTGACATATCAAATCTGTCAAACTATGCTTTTTTTTTTTAACCTATTCATCATCACTGAGGTCACGCCGCTTTCCTGTTCATCTTTGACACCCGCACTTTTTGAGAATAAAGGCCTTTTTAGACGAGAATGTCACTCAGTCGTGCTCTGCAGCGATTGTTATGCTGCGCACGTGTTTGTGTGCGTGCAGATGTGAGACCATGTCACAAGAGGAACGGCAGACAAAAGAGTCGTGTGGCTGAGGTTCATCAGCGCGGACGCAGGGTTTGTGACACTGGACTGGCTGTCTCTTTTTCCCTTTCACCCTCTGTCTGTCTCACACCTTTCATATCTCCAGCTTATGGTAAAAACAAAGGCTAACCTTTTTTTTTTAGGCCAGTGCCGATATCGGCATTTAAATGTTTTATAATAGTAAAACATGTTGTTATAAAGTACAATGAAGCTACTGTAAAGGCAGTGTCCATACTTTATTTAGCTTTAAAGGCCTGCTATGCCTGATGACGTTATCTGCGTTTTTTCTTCTACATTTGTGTGTGGCAGTGAAGTTTTCAAATATTATCGCTCCTAGTTTACAGCGGTCACAGTGGGCATCACTGCAGGGTGAGATTGTAACACCTCGCAGATGTCAGATGATCTGACACACACAGACACACACAGACACACACCTGCAAAGTGTGAAACTTACTGAGCCGAATCTTCACAACATTTTTATTGAATTAATCACACTTTGATGTCATATACTGACCTTTACCAGAGCAGGTCAGTGTATGACATTTTTAAGTGTTAGACAAAGCAGTCGCGTAAAGTTTAGGTTACAGTCTTGCTAAAAGAATGGCACAAGTCATCTACAGGTGGCACCAAGCCCACATTTAGCGTTTTATGTTTTGCAGTATTTATGTTGTTGTTTTTCCATTTCATTCAACTGAATAATTTTCAGTCTTGTGCTCTTATTTATCTTTTTATCGCTTGCTGACAGTTAATTATTGTTTTCTTGTTATCAGTGTTATTCTTTAGGGCCATTAAAAGAAAAACCAATTTTTCCAATGAGCTTCCTGCTTGGATTCCAGGTTGACAGCACCTAGGGAACATTTGTCTAAAGAATGACAAATAAGGCTACAAAAAAAACAGAGACTCTCTCATCTCAGATTGTCCCTTCCAGTAGTGCTTGTCCTCCACCTGCTTCCTTCTTTTCATTCTTGCCTCTTTTTTTCTTCTTTTTTGTTTTTACATCAGTTTTAATTTCCATGCATGCTTAAAATCTGCAAATTGAGGAAATTAAGAACATTTAGGACATTTCTGTGCACTAGAAATAGCTTACTATTGATCTATAAGAATGCTGAATGAGTTACCCAAAGGTTTACTCTTAGCTGTAATAAATAAGCTTTTCTCATATGTTTTATTCACATCAGTGTTTGCATCCAGGTTAAATCACATTTCCATAATAGAAATGGTAAATGAAATCTCTAGCTGATAGTACTGAATGACAGCGTAAATGCATCCATAACCAGAAAAACCAAATATAATCAGATTTAAATTAAAGATGAGCCCAACTAAAATCAAACATTGCCTCGACACCACTATTTGTGATGATTTAGAGATCTAACCCGTTAATTAACATTAAGTAAGAAAAAGAAAGAAAAAATAAAAATCAATAAATGAAGATGGTAATTACAACCCATTAAATGTGTTTTTTATGATATTTTTAGGGAAGGCAGAAAAAGAAACAGTAGCATAGAGTGGAAGTTTAAACAAATCTAAGCTTTAAATTCAATATCTGTCATTTTTATCTTGTTTATTTTAACTTGTCCTGTTTTCTGTATTGTATACAAATAAAGTAAAACAAAAAAATAGCCGTGAATTCAGTAAAAGATATTTAAAGGACTTCAGTATCTCAGTTTCTCTCCTGCAGCAAAGGTACCCCCTGAATGCAATGCTGCAAAGTCAATAACCTACCTCGTTTTGTTTTGTTTTTTAATTATGTTAGTATCAGCCTAAAGCACTTAAAATCTTACAAGACACCAAATGTTTTCAGTGCTTTTATAACGTTTTCCGATAATATTTGCTCCCTATGTTAAACATTTGTCTTCTGTAATAATGTGTGAGTAATGAGTGCATACTCAAACTTGATATTACTGCACAAGAGAAATAACTCCACGTACGTCATCGTCATCAATCCGAAAGACGATGACGCGTGTGAGAGGAAGGGAGGCAGGTTGTTGAGTGAACTAGTGTCTAGGGCTATATAAGGTCCCCTCCCAAAGAGGGAAGAAGAAAAGAACACAAAGCAGACTGATTGAAGCAGCTTTCCCAGTTTGAGAGTCTGCAAGAGCATATTCCTGACAGAGAAACAAGAAAGCGAGCGGGATCTGCAGCACACATCAGACCTGAGCCCAGCTGACTCCCACCTGTGCACCTCAAACCAGGCAGTTTAATTTCAGGACAGGTGAGCAATGCTCTGGAGACTGACTCTCGCCGTGGCTGTGGTGTGTGTCGGCAGCATGTGCAGCTGTGAGAATGCTGATGTGATGAACAGACTGATCGTACCGAGGGACTATGGGGTGAAACTGTGTGGGAGAGAGTTCATCAGAGCGGTCATCTTCACCTGTGGTGGCTCCCGGTGGAGACGGTCCACGGAGGGAGACTTGGGTGAGTTAATGCTGCTACACTTTCACTAATTGTTTCATTTGTGTGCACTAATTAAATGTATGCAGACGTGTTTAAAAATATTTCTATAAAACTACAGTGAATGGTGGAGATCTGTGAAGAGTGTGAGGTATTTATTTATCATTAAGACCAAAGATGCTCCACAGGTGGAGGACTGTGAAAGACTTCCTGTTAAATTTTGACCTATGGTACTTTGGAATGAGTTCAGGCTGTTTTCATTAGTTGATGATGCCTGATACATGTATACCACGACAGTTCAGCACCACAGTCGGCTCCTTTTAGTGAATACTCTCCATTATTCTCCTATTTTCTTTGTCTTTTCTGGCCTACAGTACACTTTCCTGCACTAATTTCCTGATTGCATTTGAGGTCGCTGATCCTTTTTTTTTTCTGTCTCTAGATCTGTTCCCGTGGAGTTCCCTTCCTGATGTTAAAGTGGAGGAGAGCCAGCACACCTGGCAACGTGATGCAGACCTCGCAGAAAACCACTCTCCTCTCCGCACTGCCTCCTCTTACTCCCTGGCAGACCTCCTGGCTCTTTACGGGTCCACAGGTGACAGACAGCAGCAGCAGCCACCGCTGAGTCTTCCCGCCCCTCTGGGGGACTCCCATCTGTCCACAGCTGCAGGTGAGCAAGACGGGACCCCGGGTTCAGCTGACTGGATCCTACCAAGCAAGAAGAAGAGGAACTTTTCACTTGGTGTGGCAGGGATGTGCTGTAACCAGGGCTGCACCAAGAATGATATTGGACGCTTGTGCTGAGGCAGGAAGCAGGGTGGGTGGGTGATGGCATGGGGCTCGTTCATGGAGCCATTATGATGAGCAGTAATGGACAGTGTACAGAAAACGTCTGGTGTTGATTAAGCTGTTCCCACTCATGCTGTAGTGTACAAGAAAAACATTCCCCCAGCTTCACGTCTTCTTCATTCTCCTTTCTCCTTTGTTTAATTCATCTGTACGTATTATATGTTGTTATCTTTGTCAATAAATTTTAAATACTGTAATATATGACATATTGAGCAGCATCAGATTTTTTTCTGTCTATATTTTGGCCTGTCGATTCTCAGACCACATTCATGAAATGCATTCATACTAACACTGGACAGTATTGTACATTAATGTCATTTAGGAGGCCGGGAATTTATTGCTGGCCTTGTTCACAGCATTAAAACACCCTGATGATTTTCTCTAAACAGCCCGAGGATAATACTCCACAGGAGCAGTGTTTTTGTCCTTTTAACACTGTTGCACCCACCTAAACCCATTCAGGCTCAATAAAATAAACATAAACATATCTCAACTCTTGCTGGCAATCATGGAGTTTACACATTAAGTTCACATTAAAAAACGCTCTTAGATGGAGCTATGGCTACTGTATGACTTGTCTACTAAAAAAGCACAAACACCTTACATATATAAACTTCACATCTTCAGATATTTACATGTAAACCAGCAGAGCATAGTTTAAATGGCAGCTTTTTCTTAACTCTGTCTGAAACAAACTACAATTAAAAACAAATAAGGAAAAAGAAACACCAGTTGAATTTTTTGAACTTTTTATGAAAATCTTTGGATACAAAATGATACAAACTTCACAGAAGAATCATATGTGATATACATACATCACAATAATACTGGTATGGAAAAAGATAACTCTCAAATGTTTTGCAATTTAAAAAAAAAAAAAAAACAGAATAAACTGACAATCGTCAAGTATCATGAAAGAAATATTCAGGGTGCCTATAAGGAGGTTAAAACACAGGAGAACGCACACACATTTAAAGTGTACACTGTCTCATTGCTAATAATACATTTATTTGAGTTTCACACCAGAAAACGACTTGAAAAGAGAGCATTTGGGATTAAAAACAAAGAGAAAAAAAAAGTCTGTCCTCCACAAACATTCACCGACAATCTTAAACCTAAAAAGAAATCATGTAACACACAAGCTGGATCTTTAAATAGGTGTCAAAGTATAAAATGAAGACGTGACCACAAAATCACATAAGTTTTTCTAATAAAAAGCACGACTGGCAAGAAGTCTCCTGCAGAAAATAAAGGCACTTCCCGTCATTACTTTCCCTCCAGGTGCAAAAAAAATCAACTTTACATCACTTTACATATCTACAAACTGCACAAGCTTAAAACTTCATACTGTATTATTAAAACACACCTGTTTAAATAATAAAGGTTTCACAAAGTAATGGCTGCTTTTCACTGAAACAAAAATTACACTGAGTTTATGATAGTTTGTGGGTTTTTTCCCAATGCCTTGTGAAATTTTAACTCTGACCTCAATGAAATAGCATAACCTGCCCCTTATAAACAAGGAGGCGGCTCATTGCTTCAGTCGCCTCACAGGTTCTCAGCACAGACACATTCAAAACTGTCACTTCCACTGTAGAAGCAGAAATCTCGTAAAGATCGCGATGGCGGGTCCCCTCCTTACAGACATGGATAAAAACCCTAAAAAAAATCTATATGGGCATCGGCAGGAAGAAATCTGCTTATTCAAGTAGAGCTGCTCATGAGCATGTGCACTGGGCTTCAGCTCTGGCGATTTACGCCCAGTGATGTGAAGAATGCAGAGCCTTTGTTCCCTCATAGCCTCTTTGCTTATGCAAAAAAACCCTTTCCTGCTTATTTTACATCTTTAAAGGTACACAGTAACTGTTGCTTGTTGGTGCTTCTTCTTTTCACATTCTTGGAAAAAATACTGACTATCATACTGAAACTTTTATCGCCTCTCTCCAGTCAATCACTGTTTTAACTTCAACGTTTAAAACGCAACACGTGCAAACACATCAAAGAAAACAATTGGTCCCAGGGTGAAATCTTTCTGAAAGCACCGGAAGTGTAGTGTACTCTTCATGTGAAGTATTCACATGAAGTGTTCATGTGAATGTGAATACTTCATGTGACCATAGGAAGAAGACTGACATCACTTAGGGCCTCGCTTCTGTCAGTCTGCCCCAGGGCAGCTGTGGCTGCAACTGTAGCTTGCCTCCACCAGTGTGTGAATGTGAGAGTGAATGGGTGGATGACTGGGTGTGTAAAGCGCTTTGGGGTCCCTAGGGGGGGACTAATAAAAGCGCTATACAAATACAGGCAATTTACCATTTACCATCACTTCAACTCCAAACTGCAGTAAATCAGACGCTTTGTTGTTTTGCTCAGGTCAGAGAGGACTCACGCGAGTCAACGCCTAAAGGTCAAAGGTTCACGGATCGATGCTCCTCATCTGTCTTCGCTGTCTCGTACAGTCTCCACACTATGGATTAATGTCTTGAAAGTAGGCCGCAGTTTAGGGTCATTGCTCCAGCACTCCATCATAATCTTGTGAATCTGGGGAGGCATCAGGACAGCATTATTTACACAGTTCTAAGAAAACAAAAGAGATTAAGTGTTACTAATGAAGCCTTCTGTAAGAACCCAGCAGTTTTAGGGGTGAGCTATGGAAGCTAAAAGCTCCAACACGCTACCAGCAATGTGTCTCTAATAAAATGGCTGTTGAACACAAGCTAAACTGTGTGTGCATCTAACTCAAAGCTTCATTTTCCACGGTCATCTGGGTTAGTTCAGTGTTGTTGAGATATATGATTTTCATCTTAGCTGATCTTAATCCTCTCAGAATCTCCAGGCCACTGAGGACTATGTTTAATAGGTTCTTTACTCCACATGAATTTCTTATGTGAGACTCGCGTTGTTAAACATCATAAGCAAGTTATATCTCTGTTGGCTTTGAACCACAAGACATTTTATCAAAACAATGAGCAGCTTATGGTGAGGCTGAAGAAAGTAACAGACCTGTGTAGGACACTTATCAGGAGCAGGCAGCCTATAGCCATTTCTCAGGAGGTCAATCAAATGGTACACAATCATCTGGCCCTGCTTCTCATTGCCCATTTTATTCATAAAGACCTAAAACAGAAGAAAAATCATTTGGTCTGGTTAACAAAAAGCAGTATGCTTCAAATAACATGAAAGAAAAATGAAGTGGTTCCTGTTTTTGAGTACATCGCGCAGAGAGAAGTGCTCAATCAACTGATTCTTTAAGCCACGCTGCAGCCTAATTATAGTGAGTTGTTTTCCAAATCAACTGAGCAATTGAGACAAGTGACCAAGAAATTAAAAGTACAATGAGGGAAACACTTAGCAGAACTAGAAAAAAAACACAGTACCACTGGTGGGCTGCAGTTCTTGTCGCTGTAAGTGAAGAGTTCATAGAGGACGACCCCAAAACTCCAGACGTCTGAAGCCACAGAGAACTTGCTCTCTGTCAGCGATTCAGGAGCATACCTGCAAGACACCACAGCACATTCAAGACTCAAGCACATATATAACGCAATCCATACACAGATTGCATATAAAAGACGGACATTATACCAAATTTAAAGCCTCAACTTGATGTTGCTAGAAAAAGAAACCGAGGACACTGCAGGCTCAAATCAAAATCTCAAACCAATCAAAAAGTAGCCAAACCATAGAGATTCTCTGATCTTGTCTTTTACTCCAGTTAATTTCCAAAGTTAATATCACAATATAATGTTAAACGTTAAATAAAGACCATTAAACCACGAGCAAAATGTTTACTGAGGTCATACAGGAGGAGCAGTAGTGTTGTTTTCTCATAGAGTTCTATACAATCAGACTTGATTCTGTGTCGCCCCAGCTGGTAGTTATCAGGCAGATCGGAAAGTCACATCCATAAAAACATTTTTTGAAAACACAGCTGTCTATTAAACGCAATCAAACAGAGATGAAGGTCTGACCGAAGACCATTTAAAGTGGATGCATAAAAACGAGTTCTAATCTTTGCCTCCATGTGGATCATGATTTTACTTAATTGCGAATTTTTTAATCTCACAACTGTTAGAGTATTTAAAGAAAGGAAGTAATAGCTAGCAAAAGCAAAAGATATTAAGATAGGATTAAGCGTGGTCCTCACCAGAAGATGGGGCTTTCCCCAGGCTCTCTGACAGTGTAGTAGTCTTTGTCCTGAGGAAGCACCTTGGTCAGACCAAAGTCACCGATCTTAACCCTCATCTCGCTCTCCACCAGAATGTTTCTTGTGGCCAGATCTCTGTGAATGTAACGCTTAGTGCCAAGGTAGTCCATTCCCTGGAAGGAATTCATGTGTTACACCAAATGCATACATTTTGCAGCAGCTCCAAGAAGAACTGTGAAGAAGCGTTTTGCAAGAATCTCTGTATAGCACTGTGTTACCTTGCAAATCTGTGACGCGTAGTGCAACAGTTTCTTGGAATCAAATCTGTCCTTGTGTTTGATGAGATAATCTCTCAAGCTGCCATAGGGGAGATATTCCATGATCAACCGTAGGTTTCTTCGTCCTGCAGAAAAAAGGGAGTTGAGTTCGCTACTAGAGAAAGAGAATACGATGTGAGCGGTGGAGCGGAGGCCTCGCCTAAAGTGGGTTTTCTGAGCTAATTCAGATTTATTTGTTTCATTGGGCATGGTCACTGACGCCCCAGGCAGCAAATGTGTGGAAAACAGCATAATGCATTAAAAAATGTGCCGGGGTGGGAATATTAAATCAAGAAACAAGCAGCTCATGGAAGTTTGCATTAAATAAAAGAGACAAAAAAGAAAAAAGTGAATCTCTCGTCTTGACATTATTAAGAAAAATTACATAACATAAAAGAAACAATATTTTATACCAAAACAGCAACATTTACTAACTTTAATTATAAGCTGAAATAGGACCAACAGCGTTTAATTTTTTTATTGTAATCCAGTTTATCCAAGTCATAGGAGATAACAAGCAATGCAAGTTCACGTGCACAGTAA